CCACGGCACCACAGCACACAAGCATGTCAGGGGCAGAGCAAAAGAGTGCTAAGAAGCTCTTCTTGGTCTGTGCTTGGGCTGAACCAGTTGGAAAATACTTTTAAATCCACCTGTCCAGCTGTGTGTGACCAGGACGCCAGAGAAATGTACCCAGAGATTTAGGATCACAGCTGAGATAGTCATTTGGGTTTTTTCCCAGAAAGCCAAGAAGAGCCCTAGATAGGAGGAAGTGTTCGGGCAGAGCCTTGCAGGATACATATTACGCAGAAAGGTGACAGATGGAGGGTAAACTGAGGCAGGGTGCACTCAGGGAGAGGGCGGGTATCAGGAGTAGGGGAGAAAAGCTGGAGAAGGAAGCTAGTTGGAAGGGTGTTGGGGCCTCACCCAGTGGCAACAAGGGATCTGAAATGGAATGAACAAAGAAAGGCATCGCTATGCTCTGCCAGCAAAGCGAGGGGTGGGAGGGATCCACCAAGGGGTAGCTTGGGGGTGAGGTTTTAGTTAAGCTTGGGATGAACATGACTTTCAGCTGATCTTTGAAGGAAGGAAAGGGGGTTCACAGAAGGCAGAGAGAAGAGTGAGGCACGCTGGGGGGCAGGAAACAGCCTGTGCAGAAGAACTGCAGCAAGAATAGCAACTCTCATGGAAACTGCAGAAACTGGAGGGGCCAGGTGGAGACACCATGAAAGAAAATGGTCAGATGAAAGATGCTGGTGAATAGAAATCTCCGAGGCAGGGCTGTCGGCCCCTGCTCATCTGACAGCCACATCTTCCCGCCAGTGCCAGCTGCGGCCCTGAGACACGGCAGTGAAGGTCGGAGTGAACAGATTTGGCCGTATTGGGCACCTGGGCACCAGGGCTGCTTTTTACTCTGGCAGCCCCATCAGTGACCCCTTCGTTGACCCCAACTAAATGGCCTATATGTTCCAGTATGATTCTGCTCACGGCAACTTCAAAGGCACAGTCGAGGCTGAGAACTGAGAATGGGAAGCTTGCCATCAATGGGAAGTCCGTCTCCATCTCCCAGGAGTGAGTCCCGCCAACATCAAATGGGGTGATGCTGGTGCTGAATATGTTGTGGAGTCCACTGGCGTCTTCACTACCATGGAGAAGGCTGGGGCCCACTTGAAGGGTGGAGCCAAGAGTGTCGTCATCTCTGCCCCTTCTGCAGATGCCCCCATGTTTGTAAGGGGTGTGAACCATGACAAGTATGACAAATGCCTCAAGATTGTCAGCAATGCCTCCTGTATCACCAACAGCTTGTCCCTCTGGCCAAGGTCATCCATGACAATTTTGGCATCATGGAGGGACTCATGACCATAGCCCATGCCATCTCTGCCACCCAGAAGACCATGGAAGCTGTGGCGTGTAGGCTGAAGGGCTGCCCAAGACATCATCCCTGCTTCTACTGGCACTGCCAAGCCTGTGGGCAAGGTCATCCCTGAGCTCAATGGGAAGCTCGCTGGCATGGCCTTCCATGTCCCCACCCACAATGTGTGTGTGGGTTGTGGATCTGACCTGCCGCCTGGAGAAAGCTGCCAAATACAATGACATCAAGAAGGCAGTGAAGCAGGCACCAGAGGGCCACCTCAAGGGCATCCTGGGCTATACTGAGGATGAGGTTGTCTCCTGTTTCTTTAACAGTGACACCCACTCCTCCATCTTCAATGCTGGAGCTGGCATTGCCCTCAATATCACTTTGTCAAGCTCATTTCCTAGTCTGACAATGAATTTGGTTACAGCAAGAGGGTGGTGGACTTTATGGTCCACATGGCCCCCAAGGAGTAAGAGACCCCTGGACCACCAGCCCCAGCAAGAGGAAGAGAGGCCCGCAGCTCTTGGGGCATCCTTGGCCCAAATCGATACAACACACTGAGAATCTCCTGACCTCTGCAGTTTCCATCCCAGATCCCCTGAAGAAGGGGGGGGGCTTAGGGAACCCTACCTTGGCATGCACCATCAATACAGTTCACTGCCTTCCCCCGCAAAAAAACTTCAAGGCAGGATTTGACCTTTGCATTAAAAAAAAAAAAGAAAAGAAAAAAAGCAAGGATCCCCATAGATTATTTTAATATTTTAATGCTATTCCCATTATGCAGAAATTACCAATTCACTTCTTTCCTGATAGTTACCTGTTCAAGAACCCGGACAGGCTGTGTTGTAGAGGGTCCCACCTTCCTCCTTTGAACGGTTTACTGTAGATTTCTGAGCCGCAAAGGGCCGTGAGAAAAGCTTATCTTTGGGAAGAGCTGCCTTTGGCCACTGTTCTGGCTTCTCGTCCTAGGTGAGGTCAAGGTGATTGGCCCTGGGGAGCCCATCCTGGCGACCGTCGGCGGGGAGGTGGAGTTCTTCTGCCACCTGTCCCCGTACCAAGACGCCGAGCACATGGAGATCCGCTGGTTCCGCGGGCGGGCGGCGGACGTGGTGCACCTGTACCCGGGGGGCGCGGGGGCCCCGGGGCGGCAGGGGCGCGGCG